TCTCCGACACTTTGGAGATGAATGTTTAAAATATGTCTTGTACCACTCAACAACATCATGCTTGCTTATGTTCTCCAATTCTTCTGCTTCCTTCTTTGATATATCAAAGATATACCTGAAAACCATAATATTTTATCATTAAATAAACCATCATTGCAGCAATAAAATGCAGTTGATTTTACACATTTCCTTTAAGGCTAGCCCTCTTTATTCCTCCCTGAACTTCTAACATTTTATCACTGGTGAATGTTGTCTAAATAAAAGATATCTAGCAGCTGAACCATGCAGGAACAAATAGCTGCTGGTTATAATACGTCATCAACAATAATTGACTTTAAGTGTACCAATTAGACCACAAAATCTGTAAAGTACCTTTTATCAACAATCTGATTCCACAATCTACTGCTTTCATATGTGAGTGACGGATCTTTCTCTAGCAGCTTTGCCATTAACCCATTTTTGTAATTCTCAAAGGAATCACCATCAAGCCCATCCTGCAATTCCAATATATTTCTTCAAAACATAAGTCTTTCATTCAGCAATTATATATTTCAATAAATATTTTAAACAAGGGAATTCACAAAAGCTAGTACAGATCATCCCTTGATCGTTCATTATGTTTATCTAGGCCTATTTCAGAAACAGGCCATTGAATAACAGCCATAAGGCACTGACTCAAGGATTAAGAGAAAGAGTACATGTTGTCAAATAGAAAGCACATGCAATGAAAATGGGAATAAAAGAGTCATCCCTTTGATAGTTATCTCAAGGTCCCAGTGCTGTTAAATCCAAGCAAGTAATACTTGTTTTCTGATTTTTTATAGCAATGAAAAAGTGTGGAGTTATAACCGTTGATTGAACGGCTGATATTATGATATATACAGTGTATTATAAATTATGAAGTTGTTAAAATTGACTCCCTTGATTTTCCAATCAATTGTTATAACTCCTCACTTTTCCCAGCAACCCAAATACTTTCTAGAACAAAGTTCTTTTTACATATTCTATTTTCTCTGCAATGAAAACTCGTAACAAAAAGAAAGAAACATAATTTTGCTGTAAACAGAAATCAAATTTATATTCTAAATAATTGTTAGAATAGCAGCTTCTTTATTCCTTTCTTACTTTCTTTCTTTTCTTTTTTTTCAACCTTTTGTTCTACATTGAATTTGAGACAAAGCATTTTATTATTCACATCCATTTCCTCCTTTCTCAAAAATAGTAGGGTGGGCTCATAATTTCTTAAGCACCCAAATCATGTCAACTTTATTACAGTTCATATGGGAAGCAATTAAGCTAAGAACATGGAATTGAAGAAATCAGGAATGCTCACCAACAATTCATCCAAACCGTTGATGAAGTTGTCAATTCTACCTTGCAAGTAAACTGGGTTATACTCAGATGACTGAATGTAGAAACAAAACCCAAAAACACGGTATGTTATTCGTGGGCCACATCCAACAACATAACCAAGCTGCTCTTTTGTCCTGCATCCAGAAAAATATTAGGAATTCAGCCCCCAAACAGACAATAAAGAAGGCAAAAGAGAAAGAAAGACAAGAAACAGCAATCTTAATTCTCAACCTAAACAAAAGAAATGTGCAAGTAAAAGGTTTCATTGAATTTGAAAATGTTTTCAGTGAAATTAAGGTTCTACAACAATAGAAAATTTTATGCCTAACAAAGAATACTTCACTATCAAGCCATCAACAACCTATGCCCTGAACAAGTTTACAAAGAATTGAGTTTAAGAAGCAGCAACAAAAATGTTTAGTGTAGAAAATATGAACCGCTCACTTAAGAATCGCGACTACAAGTACATTTGCCTGTTGTTTGCACAGATAAGACAAGTAAGAAGTAACAAATATTCTCATTCAAAAAGACAAATTTTGGGTAAAGAACTACGATCCAGGATTCCTACTACAACCCTGAGAAAACAGGGGAAGAGAGAACCCATCTTCATCAACAAATATCAGATGTCAAATATGAGATAGATGGATCAGATTGTCACCTCAGCTGATTAAAAAGTGGCTCCTCCACAATTTCTTCAAAAAGATCAATCAAAGCTTTCAATTTAGTTGATCCCATACCAGAATCTTGCTCAATTTGAAAATAAAGCTGCATAAATGGCAAAACGAAAGCAAGACACATGAGAAATTTGCCAGAGATTAGTGAAAACAAATCATCTATGGAACACATTGGTGAAAATACAAACAAAAACCAATCTAACTAAAATTACCTCAACCACAGAGTTGTTTTCCAACTTGTTCTTCACACTGACATCCCTAACTAAATTGGCACTGGTTGGGAGGGAAATAACACGTTCAGCATGCCTCAACTCAATAGGGAGTGCATTTACTGGAAAATTCATCTTAAATATATTTGATATGCTAATTGCTTCTTCTTCTGACAGATTTCCATGACACAGACCCTCAATGTATAGCTGCACAAAGTTAAGATATAAAAGAATAAATCTCCAACAATGTCATAACAAAAAATTAAAGACAAATAAAAAGCTATAATTAACCTCTGTTGACTTATCCATGTTCATCATGGAATTCATGTTTAAAATATCAACTTACTGAAAACCAATAAGGAGTAGTTGTTTTCTTGCAGTTGTTGGCGTGATTAACCAATAAATATAGGACTTCCACATGCACAAACGGACAAGTGTGACAAAATATGGAGTTTGTTGAAATCATAGGAATTTAGGTAGGGAAAGAAGAAAAGAGAGAATAAAGATGATAATATAGAATTGGCATTGATTTAATGAGTAATACTACGATACAGGCTACAAAACACTAATCCCTGTTTGTACTAATATTAGATTCCAAATTTTAATTAAATACGGAAATAAAACGTGAAAAATAAAAAAAAATAAAAAAACAAGGAAATTATTCCCAAGAGATCATATAAGATACTCCAATTCATTAATAATTCATCACTATATGACTCATTGGTAAGAAAGAAGTCAGGGCCAGAGCAATGATCATCAGTGGGAAGAGAACATGAGCAAGGCCAAGCAAACATGGCCAGAGCATTTGTGACAAAATTGGGGCAAACTTCATCTAGGACAAAGATCAACCTTCAAAGTCAAACACTTTCTGAATTTCTCCCCCTCAACACTATATCGGCATTGGAAAAAAGCCAACTGGACAAATAACATTGCCAGATAAATGCTGAAAAAAAATTGCTCAAAACTGAATAGTGGTCTGCAAAGTGTTGGAAGGAGGTGTGGCAGGACAAGTTCGATGGTATTGAGACACAATGAGGAGAAAAGGACCATTGTGCAATGGCACAATGGGTTTGGAAAAATTTGCCACAAGGAAGTCAATATAGCAGGTTTAGGGTTTGTTGAGAGAGACAAGAAATGAATGAAGATAATAACATCATATAATAGTTTCATATTTTAGGAAATTCTACAATAAAATAGTGATGGTACAGGTCACGGGGGACTATACTGATCTAATACCATGTTGAAATTATGGGGAGTTAAGTAGGGAAGAAAAAAAAAAGAGTGAATAAAGATTGAATAAAATGAAATTGGTTTTGATTTTGTGTTACAAATTGATATGATGTGATAAAAGCTATAAAGTATTAATCCCTATTTATACTAATAATTTTCTAATTACATAAGGAAATAAATCATAAAATATAAGGAAATAAGAAAACTATTCCTAAGAGATCATATAAGATATTCTGAAATATTCTAAGACAACACAATCATGATATCATGAGATATTTTTCATATATTCTAACAGGGCTATTAGTCAACTCAAGGAACAGAGTCACAAGCTTCAAGTATAACAAATGCTCACCCATGTGTGCACCCTGAGGCTCAGCACGACACACATTTAGGTGTCTGCTTCTCACTAACAGTATTGACAACAACATCTATGTTACTCTTTAAGTCATCATACTTGGAAGATAATAAAGACTGCAAATAATATAGTAGAAAAATATTAATATTAAAAATTCCATATCAACCTGGGAGCGAAGCTCAGGGATAAATGCCTTCAGATCATCAAGAAACAGATCATTTAAATAATGCAGCTTCTCATCAACATCATAAAAAGTTTGACACAAAACTTGCAATCTCAAATATGCTGAATGGCTTAGAGGCTTCATGTTGGCGTTCTTTAAAGATCTCTTCATGTCTTCTTTTATTACCTGTTCAAATAAGCATTGGTCCATGACAACAACGAAAGTAAACAGAAAAATTGAATGAGGAGAAAAGGAAAACAGGGTTAACATTTAGAAAAAAACAAAGAAAGAAGCATGCCTCATACCTTATATCGATCATCAGTTGGCATAAAAGATCTAGCTACTGACAACACCTTAGATAGGAGAACAGGAAGCTTCTCATTGAAACCATATACCTTTAGCTCTAGCATGTCACCAACATATGAGACAGAAGTTTCTAACTTGGCAATACTGGCCTGCGTAGATAGACAAAAAATCAAATACAAAGAAATCAAAAAAAAAAGGATGGGATTACTTGCACTTCCAATTGCCAATTCACGCCCTCCAAAAACTACTTTTAACTGCAATTTCTTAAATTGCCCTCAAGAAAATAATTTCCTTTCTGTTCAAGTCAAACCTAAAAATATAGCAAATTGTAATTTAGCCGAGAACAATTTAGGAAACAGCAATTAAAAGTAATTGGGATTTGGGAGTACAAATAGGCTATTGGGACTGCCAATACCCCAACGCTGAAGATAATGTTCTCAACCGATCAATTTTTATTGTATATACGTTCTTTGACAATAATTTGACTAATAAATATTAAAGCAGTGTTTTAATCTTGAAATCTTTTTTCTACCAAAACTTTATACTTTGTACTTCCTTTATTAATATTATTGTAATAAGTTAAAGAGAAAACTACTTTGGTGAAACTATATAAGGGTTAATGCACTTTCAAAAGACAGGCCTTAGAGCATTAAAGGTATTCATTCAATGAGGTCAACTTGCTAGACATTTTCACAACAAGTGATATTAAGCAACTAAAAAAGCAATTTTTGTTCAATTAGAAGATAAAAACAGGTGAATCCTAGAAAGCCGTATCAGGCAATCCAGTAGACTCACTTTTCTACACAGATATACCAAATGAGAGCATTTTTATGAATGATAATAAGCAAACAGTTATCGGATTTTACGATTAGTTTGAGGAGAGCCCTAGAAACAATAGAAATGGGTAACTTTTTATGGTGCAGAATCTCTTAAAAAATGACAGCATTTTTTAAGCTGCAGTTGTTTTTCTTTATTATATCCTTCATAACTGTATCGAGCACAAGTTTTCTTTTGTTTCTGTGCTTTGTTAACTTCTTTCTTGTTGTCAGAGAATTTTCCATCCTCCTTTATTGTCCCGGTCTGTTTCTTATAAACAAGATAGATGATTAACCTGATATATGATTTCATTCAGCTCATCCTTAAGAAGGAGAATGAACAATTCAGACAGTACACAACTCTTCACGTTATCATATCCACCCTTCAAGTTAATTCGAAAATATGTATTGGCACGAGGAACTTTGAAAGTACTATCCAGCTTGTACCAGAATTTTATCAATGCTTCATCAACTATACATCTAGGAGGGGTTGAATTTGCAAAATCAGAAATGCTTGTGTCGCCAGCACATATGGAAAAGTCACTTGGAATAAACTCATTCTTGGACGGAAGATGCAGCAAGGCATCAATTTCTGGAGGATTTCTCCATAACTCCATCAAGTTTTGAGGAATATCTTCTTCAACATAACGTGAACCAAACCAAGGTTCATATTGGAAGTCTGAAATGAAGAGCAACATCAAGTCGTTCAATCAGCTTCATGAAAATATAATTTCCAGCACAAATTTTTTAACAGTGAAATTTCAGTTATCAGTCTCCAATACTTCAACATAACAGAAATGAAGATATGCACTAGCTGCCACTCATTCAATGATGAAGGCAAAGGGAGCATATATGCATTTGCCAATTAGACAAGGGAGAAAGAAAATATGCACCTTCTTGCTTAAGGAACAACTTAGAAACGACATCTACCCTCATGTTTTCGGGAATGAAGAAACCAAGAATTTGTTCGATTAACTTCTCATCCCATGTCTTGTACACATAATCACCATAAATGACATGCTCTGATGGATAAAAGTGCAAATTTTCTGCACAATAAAATATTAAGAATAAGCCAATAAGGACAATAAATCTGTACACAATTATAAAAGATTTCCTGAATAGCAATATTACCCAGAGGAAAAAACCACAAATAAGAAGGGCCAGTGGACTCTTTCATATATTATCATATAATTGGGTTGAGAACATAAATAGATCTTCAGTTTTTGCTATAATCACTAAATGACAATGAAATTTCTTTCATCTCTAATGTATGTTTGCTTCTTTTTCCACATACTACTGATAAACAAACATTATCGACTAGTTGAGTGCTTCAAATTAACACCTATGTTCATATATCACAGAACAGACATTGAGGTCATTATTTTGCGAGGGTTAATTCATGAGATATTAGAGTCTCTATGATCAAATGGTCTAGAGTTCAATCCAATAGTCAGTGCCTCAACGCATGCTTTTCATAGACGATATAGTCCAATTGGAATCAGATGCTTTTCATGGGTGAGCCTAAGCATTGTCTACATTTAAACTAGAGTTGTGGGGAGAAGCTTTGGAATCATACGGTTTACGTTTAAGTAGAAGACTATGTATATACAATGTGTGCTCAGCAAGGCTCGCACTAACAATGGCTTAATAGGTGAAATTGGAGATCATACCATCCCAAAAATCACTAGATTTTTTTTTTTTTTTAAAAAAACACTATTGGGCTTAGGAGTTTGGAATATCAAGCAAGATACCTAATTAAAGTATCAAGTTGTTCCCAAATGCTTATGCACAGAAAAGTTTAAAATCTAAACCATTAACCCTAGATATTTCGGAAAACAAACTTAACATCATTAACAACCCTACCATAATTAGCGCACTTTATGGTCACTTTACCAGATTATTATGTGATACAAACTTGTCACAAAGAAATTATGGAGATTAACTCCTTGCAGCAGAGAAAACCTCTGGAATCCCTCAAAAACAGAAGCAAAACAAGAACATAAATGAAAGAAAAGCAGAAAATGATAGAGACACAAGAGACTCTTCGAGGGGTCTTGCTTCCTCCCTGCCTAAAGGCCCCAAATCCTCACTCAATGACTGGATGCCTCTTCAATGATCCTTCCCTCCCTTTTATCCTAGCTCCTAACCAAGTCCCATTGGCTTCCCACATCTCTTGTCATCTACGTTAGTTGTTATAACACCAAATCCCTCTTCTGCCCTTTATTCACAATACGCACTTTAGTAATCGTGGGATGCCTAACTTTATGCAACAAATTTTAAGGAAGCATTGATCACTATAATCAACATCAACATCACCTTCATCCCAAACTAGTTGCGGTCAGCAGTTGGTGAACCCAAATAAAAAACAAGAAAAGATTGGGATAAAAAAATAAAATAAATACTAAAGAAAGAAATAAATAAATATAGGAAAAATGACTAAAAAGGATTGTGTAGAACACAGGAAATAATGGGTCTACCCATAGACGATGCTAATAGCTTTTCCCGCTAAAATAACCGTTCACCAATCTATTTCGCACTCCTAGATTTACTAGTCTACTTTTTCCCAAGTAAGTTTCGTCCAGCCTCTTAATTTCTTTACGTCATGCTTTTGGTAACAACTTTTATTTTTATATGAGCATTTAAGGGTCTTTGAAGAATTTGCCCAAACTATCTCAATCTATACTTTCTAATCTTTTCAGCCATCGGTACTACTCCTACCAATCCTTGAATATTTTTATTTCTTTTCTTATCCATCTTTGTATGACCACACATCCACATTAAAATTTTCATTTTTGCTACCCCCATTTTATTCATATATTGCTTATGTACTGGTCAACATTCAACTCCATATAACATCGCAATCCCTACTACGGTTCTATAAAATTTTCAAATGACGCTAACTTAAGAGGCTTCACCCTTAAATTAAAATTACAAAAATAAAAAAAGGTTCAACTCTATAGTTACAAGAAAACAACTTCATGGGGAAAAAAAAAAAAACCTGCAAGCTCTGCAGCATAATCATCTTGGGGCTGCTCTTCTGCAAATCTGAATTCCATGTTTCCAATACTCTGAAGTTCCTTAAATATCCGTTCTTGTGGAGAAACTTGACGCAGCAAATTAAGGTATTGATAAACAAAGCCAATGATATCAAAGATCTGGGAGGTGACAAAGAAAAAGTTAAGCCATATTGAAGAAAAGTAATAATGTTGAAACTTGAAAGCATATATTGATCAAAACGATTATTTTACCAAATGTCAATAATGCTTCCACCAACCAACCTAACATTTATAATTACATCAACATCACCTTTATCCGAAATTAATTGGGGTCAGTGGTAGATGAACCCACATGAAAGGTACAAAACGGTTGTAAAAACAACAAAACAGTAATGATATATATATATATATATATATATATATATATATATATATAAATAAAAGTAAAAAAGAAAGGGAAAAGAAGAAGTGGGGGAAATGAAGGGGGAAAGGACTAAAAAGGGACCATCTGGAACATTTATAATTATTAATGAAAATTTTTAAATCATTAAATTTCCCAAATACTAATGAAGCTGAAACTAAAATTGATCTCGTAAGATGAAAAGGTATATGACATTAGTCCTTGACAAGCGACAGCACAGTAAAAACACAACATTTAATCTTACTCTTTCATCTGAGAGGCCTATACAGGTTAAGAAAATGAGATTACCTTTTCTACACCAGAGTCAGTGAGGTGTACGGACATGACAAAGATATAAGCTATAGATGACCGATAAAGTCCTTCATCCCCAACACCAGCAGATAAAGATGTAGCCCACCCTCTAGCCTTGAGAAAGGAAAGCAAGCTTCCCCTGCCCTCTGAAAAGTTAATTATATTATTGTTCATGAAAGCCACTCAATAAAACATTCAACCATAGACTTTTAGATTTAAATATCGACAGGCACTTTGAATGAAGTAATATATATGTATTAGAATGGTGAATGGTCACTATCATAGAAACTGAAAGAATGAGAATTACTTAGTACTTAATCAATAACCAGAACCACTTTCCATTACATATTGAATGGTTAAGCTCTGAAACATAATAACTTCGAAAGATATGAGACAATTCTAGAAAACAATATTTCAGAAGTTTAAAATAAAAATCTGAGCATATGAGTGTGAGTGTGTTTTGTGTGTGTATAAAACAAAGACAAGTTTCTGCTTGCTATTATTGACCAAATAGAAGACAACTTGCACTTGCTTTGCATGAAACTTGTTGACAAACTTTGAAATATCACAAAAAAAGGATAGAAATTGCTAAAGAAGAGAAGCTAACTTATGTCAATTGTCATAAATTGTATTACTTAAATCTGACCATAGAGATTTACAAAAAGATGCATAAAAAAAGCATGATATTAGCTCTTAACATTCGAGAATTAATCCATAATGAGATATCTTACCATGCCCAAGGAGATGAGCTAAATAATCCTCTGGTTTCTTTAAATACTCCTGGTGTAAACAGGGCAGGGTCCATGATAAGTCAAGGATATGAACATCTTTGACAGCTTCTAGCCGATAAACTTTACCAGATTTCCAGATAGGACCTTCCACTCTGAACTCTGGGTTTACTTGAGGACCATTTTTGACAGCACCAAACAGTTCCACAATCCAGCTCTCAAGCACATCCAGAGACTCTGTATTATTTATAAGCACATCACTAAAATCATACCGCCATATATTGGTTTTAATCCTACACCTGACTAGGTTCATTAGAACAAATCATTTGTTTCAAAGTATTGACCAAATTATTTGCATAATATCATCTAAATATTCATAATCCCAACCATTTTATAAGTGCAATTATTCAATTTCAAAAAAAATATTTTATCAACATTAGCATGATTCAACATTAGCCCAATTCTCATTCTTTCAATTAGAAAGATACCAAGCTGTTCCTCAATATTATTAGACTTGAAACTCAATTCCTTTTTCATTAGCAAGATCTTCACTTTCAGCAACAATTTTGCATCAAGTCTTATCTAGATCCTATACTTGGTTAATTAAACTAGGTAAACTTCCTGATTATGAATTGAATAGCCATATCAAATTTAGTGAAATAGAACTTCACCTCCACCAATAACAACCAGCTTCATTAATCCACCATGGTAATAATCCTTGTATAGTTTCAATATTTGCTCCCGCAAATTAATACCCTTCTCCATTGCATCAACCAGGCTCTTTTTATTCCCTTCATGTACATGAAAAAGAAAAAAATAGCATTTCACGTATACAGAATAAGTAGCTGACCAACAAATGGATGAATAACATAATAGAACTTACCCCAAAAGAATTTATTTAAGGGATGACCAAGTGCAGAAGTATGGCACTGGAGTTGTTGAAGACGGCAAGCATCACTTTGTAAAACCTGGTTGAATTCTATGTTCAATTTTGCACACCATTATGGTATACAATCGTAAACCAAAAACAAACTTCATCAGAAAGGCAAGAAAAGTCTGAGTTCCTTATCAATTTTACTTTTTAAAAAGATATGGTAAGGTGGAAATCTGCAGGATCAGATTAGAATGAGACATACCTGAATCTACTGCAAGTACTTCTCGCTCCATGGCCTCCATTTTCACAAGAGGAGAAATAAAGAACTGAGAAAATCTGATAAGGAAAGAAACCAATAAAAAAAATTCAGCAGAAATCTAGCACATCAAGGTGGACTGAAATGTCCAACGCTCTTAACTTACACATTATCAAAACTGAATCATTAAATTCATTTATGACAGCTAGATTTTAAGCAAACTGTAACCAACAGCAAATATTGGTAATTAAAATATTACTAGCCCAATTATCAATAAATAATTTACTAACAGACATTGAGATGACTACAATAATTAATATGTAAAATCAGGTCACTAGACTGATGATCTACAGGGTCTTGTATTCCAATAAACACTTAGATGGCTAAAATAACAAAGATGTAGAAGGTAAATTTTACTGCATTAACGATCTAAAAGTCTTGTATTCAAATGCATACTAATTCTGCTTTATGCTTTACAACACGTGGCCAGTAATATGATAAACAGTAACAGAGATTAAAAAGAATTGTCTTTTTCACTTTTATAAAACTGCAGTTGCTAAAATTCTTTCCACAAAACGCATGTTCAACATATGCATCATCATTTCATACTATACAGATTTACAAGCTGTTAGCAACCAGCAACACAAGACAAGTATGGAATTAAATGCCAATTTAGAGGCAATAATTGGAAACAGAACCTATCTATAAAGTTAATGTGTAAAATCATATAATAGACAGGAACTGTCCTGTTCATACAATGCATAGCAGAGTTTACCTTCTCAAGGCACCCATCAGAAACTCTCGCTTCACTTCGAAATGGTAGCAGGTATATTCAGTATCTGTGTATGCATTTGATGAGCCACCATGCTTGGACAAATAGCTATCATACTAACAACAAAAAGAGTCAGTGTCAGACTGCTAGGACAATAATATATGTTATGCTTCTTTAACATATATTAGGAGCACAATTTACCAAAAGAAAAAGTAAGAATTCATGGCATACATATAAAGAAATTAATGAAGAAATTAATCCTAACTAATTTTAAGTTTCTATAAAGAAGGGGGAGAATCAGTTAGGATTAAGACTTAGAGATAGCTGATTTGGCCAAGCCACAAAAGGTGACATCTGATAAGTAGAAGCTATAGAAGGAGCACTTAGATTACAATAACGATAATAATAGTAATAATGCAACGACCTCAAAAAATTTATCATTTATTTTATCAGTAACTATTGGATGTTGAAACATCAGAAAGACCCACCAGGGGCAATGTGGCATTCAGGGAAGGAATGCCAAGATTGCTTATAGCTATAAAATCATAATAACATGAAATCTGTAATGCATTTCCATCAAAGGTTTTGAATAGTCAAAACTTTCTTACATGAAGACAGGAAAAGTTCCTGTTTGAATTGAGGCACATGACAAAGTGAAAGGCAACAAGAGGTGTACTTATGCAAAAGTAAAATCGACCATATTTCATCTGAAAGTACTATAATGTCAAAATAGCAGATCTTAAGGTTCAGGTTTTATCTCTTTTACACTATTCTTCTAAACCAAAACGAATATATTTTATTTTTAGATAAATTATTTCCTAAATGATACATTAAGGATTTGATCATTTTCAAATGAACATAAATAAATATGCAATACATGACATAGCCAAACAGACCTCATTTTCATCTGGAAATTCATTACTCCCCATGAACAGCATGTGTTCTGCAAACAAATTACTTAGAATTTGTAATTCAAGATGTTTAAAAATGGTCATCCAGGGATAAATAAAAATAAGGTTAAATTACACTATAGGTCCCTATATTTTCACTAAATTTTTAAATAAGTCCCCATAGATTAAAAGATTTTGATGAAATCCCTGTACATCTAAAATTTTTTAAAGAAGTCCTTAGTTGCTAACCCCATTAACTTTTGCTAAACTATAAGGACCTATTCACAAAAAATAGAAAAATTATAGTAATCTATATGATAGAAAGCAAGATAGAGTAGGCAATTAACTATTGCTAAACTATAGAACCTATTTGAAAACTCAAATAAATATTGTCCTTTTAAATGACACAACTTATATCTTTTCACTCTCACAAAGAGGTGAGACCCACACCTTTATATTTTTTTGTCCACTCTCTCTCCTCCTTTATCTATCTTTTTCTCTCACTTAAAATGATACAACTTTACATCCTTTAAAATGAAACAAATTGTTTCTCAAAGTACAAAGACTATATTAAAACCTTTAAACAAAAGGGACTTATTTGGAAACGACTTAACCTAAAAATAGATAAATAAATAAAAATCTTCACTTGAATAATAAAAATATCGAAACCTAAAAAATGTGCTAGTCCCTGCGCTTCAAACGGGTCAGAGAAGCTGCCAATTCCTACACACATGGCCGCTGCAGCCTGCAAACAACAAAACACACGAAATTATTCGCATTCAAAAATCAAAGTATCAAACCAAATTAGTACTTTCATATCTGTTCTCCAATCTCCACTCATATCATACAGAATCCAGATCCTATCTCCTTTACACCATTCCCATTATTTCCAATCAACAACAAAAACGAACGACCCACGAAGCCACCAGAACAGGGCTTTGAAAAACGAAGCTGAAATCAAAATGGGTATTCATCAAAGGGACATAACACAAAAGAAAACAGAATAAAAAAGTAACCTTTTTGCTTTGAGCAACAGCACCCTTGGCCCCTTCTTTTCCTTCTGCTTCTACTTCTATTTCATCATCCCCTTCTTCGCTTCCCTCTTCTTCTTCTTCTTCATCATCATCATCATCTTCGTCTTCATCATCATCATCTTCGTCTTCATCATCATCATCATCATCTTCTTCTTCTTCTTCTTCTTCTTCTTCTTCATTGTCGATTGGAACAGGTTTGGGAGGGCCTTCAGCGTAAATCTCGGGATCGTGAACGAGCAAAGCACGAAGGCCGTTTTGGAGATGGATGAGACGGTATAAACGACTGTCGTTTGGGGATTTGAGAACGACGTCGTCGGAAGAGAAGGTTGTGGTGGTGGGGGCACCCTTCATTTCTAGAGTCTTATTGGGTGAGCGTGCAGCTGCAGCAGCAAAACACACTTCTCTTTGTTGCTCAGGACTGTGAACTCCCAAACTGCTGTGCGGCGCAAGGGAAAATAAAAGCAACAAATTAAGGGCACTCATGTCCTCTCCTTTGGTGGGATCAAGGTGCTCTTTACAGTTATTTTTAAAAGTGCATTTATATTTAGCCTTTTTTTTTAATAACATAACATATATTTAGCTTTATTCGTATATAATTCTTAAGTTTTGTTTTTTAAAATTTAGTGCTAATAAAAGGATATTTCCTCGTTACTTAACTAATTATTTGAAAATAATTGTTTTTAGGGTTCATAGATAACTTATTTGCATTGAGTCCAAAATGATATTATTTTGAGTGGAAATCAAGGTATTTTTGTAATTATAATTTATTTTAAGATTATAATAATCTGTATTATTATAATATTTTAATTTTTCAACCTCAAAATGATGTTATTTTAAGAGTGAATGTAGATAATTTATCTGTAAAAATATTTTTCTATTGTTTTTATGTGAGAAAATCTTAGTTTAAAAGATTATTTGTTCTTTAATTAATTACATTTTTAATAGTATACCAAAAAAAATTACATTTTTAATAAGTCATATTGTCAAATTTTATTTACATGTAAAACTTAAAATGTTTTTAAAGTTTATATTAAAAAATGTGTTTTTAAAGTCATTTTTTATTTGTATTTTAAATTAATATTCTTATAATGAAAAAAATATTTGTCTTTTTAAAGGACAACTTAGTTGTGTCATTGTGGACAGATTGACTAAGTCTGCTCATTTTCTTCCGGTAAAGGTGAGCTTCACAACAGAGACAGTTGGCCAAGATCTATGTTCGCGAGATTGTGAGGCTTCACGGGATGCCCGAAAGTATCATTAGTGATAGGGACCTGAAGTTCACATCTCAGTTATGGGAGGCGCTGCAGGGAGCTTTTGGTACTCAGTTGAGATTGAGTACAGCCTATCACCCTCAGACAGATTGACAGATTGAGCGGACCATCTAGACATTGGAGGACATGTTGAGGGCTTTAACTTTGGAGCAGGGCTCAGCATGGGATCGGTACCTACCGTTGATTGAGTTTTCATACAACAATACTTTTCTTGCTAGCCTGGGCATGGCACCCTACGAGGCGTTGTATGGTAGGAGGTGTCAAACTCCTACCTGTTGGTCTGAGGTTGGAGATCGTGAGTTGTTAGGCTTGGACTTTGTCCAAAAGACTACCCAGCAGATCCAGATGATCAGGGAGAAGCTGAAGCAAGCACAGAATCGCCAGAAGAGTTATTACGATAACAAGCATCGGCCACTGGAGTTCAGTGAGGGTGACCATGAGTTTGTGAGACTTTCACCTGTCACCGGTGTTGGTCGTGCCCTCGAAGTGAGGAAGCTTAGCCCGAGATTCATTGGGTTATACTAGATACTTGGTAGGGTAGGGCCTGTTGCCTACCAGCTTGCCTTGCCTCTGAACTTGGTCAACATCCACGACGTGTTCCACGTGTCCCAGCTGCGGAGATACATTGTTGGTCCTTCGCACGTAGTGCAACCGGATGATGTGAAAGGCGAGAGAACTTAAAGACTCTTGTAGGACCACTAAAGATACTTGATCGTGGCAAGAAGAAACTAAGAAGCAGGGTTATCCCCATGATCAAAGTTCAATGGGAAGGAAGAACTCCTAAGGAGTGTACTTGGGAGTTGGAGGACAAGCTTCTCCGCCAATACCCCGAGTTTAGGGACATGTATGTCTCTAATTTTGCGGACAAAATTCTTAAAAGGTGGAGTGAGTGTAAGAACCTGCACCGCTAAACAATTAATTAAATAAGGTTACCTATGACGGAGCATGGATTTGATAAAGGGTTTGCATAATTATGGTAAGATAAATATTTAGAAAGAGGAATAATGCTTAAAGTCGCTTTTCTAACGAAAAGTGCAGATACTAGTTTTGTTTCGCGGTATAAATGCGTACCGGTGAAGTATCCCGAAAAATTATAATAAGTATATGAATATTCCTAGAATAATGTCTAGGTCAAGTATAGTGATGTGCCTTCAGCATATAGGTATTTTAGAGTTAAAAGAATAAAGATTTGACAGTAATTCAGTGATAAAAAACATGACTTTAGTGAATTATTAGTAATCTACCTTCAGGCGCACTTTCACTCTTGTTTTATGTTTGTATATGAGGACAGCACGAAAATAAGCTATGTTGCGAACAACTGACTCACGCAGTACAAAAGGATGGCACTAGACTAAGAAAAGGGAACCAACACAATGCAACTTCACGCTGATAGCATGAGATTCACGCTATTCGCGCCAAGCATAAGGCTTCTCCACTGGTTCACCGCGCGATTAGCGTGGATCTGGCGCTAATCGCGCGGCATCGCGCTATCAGTTTTCTGAATTATCGATTTGGATAAAAATAGAAACGAAAATCAAATCTTGGGAAAGATTTTGACCTGATTGAGTCATTGGATATAAAAAGGAGTCAGAAACCATGAGAAAAGACAACTTTTGCACGGAGAGAAATTGACGAAGGCAGAACGCAAAGCAAGTTTCTTCTCCAAATTTTCTGGTTATTATTTTCTTTTATGAATTCTTTTCTACACATTAAATTGTCAGACATGAACATGTCTGGCTAGTCTTTTATTATTGTGGTAAGGGTCACAACCCTTAATGTAAACCCCTTGTAGTTTGGTTAGTTTTTATATTTATTTATTCCAATTGTATTTATTCTATCCTGTTCTTCATGTTATGATTCTTTTAGAACCGACCATTCTATTAGGATTGCGAGGGTTAGGATTTTCTAATAGGAATATTGATATTCTAGTTCCTGACAAAGGGTAAAATAACAATTCATGTACGCACTAAGGATCTATATAGCACGGACTCGTGCTTTTTCTCAAAATTTACGTGTCGGACACGTGTCCGACATGGACACGCTCGGACACGCGTCCGACACGCGGTCAACATTTTGGGACACACGGTCAACTCTCCGACACGTTTTTTTGACACGCAGTCAACTTTTTCGGACACGCGGTCAACGCTCGGACACGTTTTTTTGTTTTTTTTTATTTTTAAATCTTAATTTTATTTTATTTTTATTTTTATTTTTTTTTGGTAAGCTTAATTTTATTTTTTTAACTAAATATAAAAAAATAATTTATAAATTAATTTTTTTCTGTTATGAAATTTGACATGAAAATTTAACAAAGTACGAAAAATTATTTTATTTATATTTATGTTATGAAATTTAAATATTTGATTGGTTATATGACTTATTATGGACTCTTATATGTATTAAATATAAATTATATTATATATATTAAAAAATTTATTTAATATCAAAACGTGTCCCAACGTGTCGAAATATGATATTTTTTAGAATTAACGTGTCGGCGTGTCGTGTCGTGTCGTGTCCGGTGTCCCGTGTCCGTGTCCGTGCATCATTGCTAGGGATAGGCTACATGAATTGCAAACGTGAAAAATTCACTGATTTAAAGGATTAACTTGAAAAGGAAGTTCTAAGGGATTAGGATTCTAATAGGGTTAATAAAATTAAGATCACTAAGGAATTAGGGCTTAACTAATCAATTAACAGATGGTGAATTGTTTGATCAATGGTTAAATTAAATGTAAAACTTAATTCATAGTGTAAGGTGGGGATCATAAAGGTGTTGGCGTCTTTTACCGCAATATTCTTTTACATATTTTCTCAACCTTTAATATCTCGTTTCTGAAATTCTAAAGAATCTTTGAATTATTCTCAGCTTCTGAAAATTGCTTTAAATGTTCACCAATTACAATTATTCTCAATTCAATTTTATTAATCCAACAAAGAGAGGAATAGTTATAATAAATTCGGTGCCTCAATCCTCGTGGAGACGATACTCTACTTACCTTTTATTACTTGGAACGATCGGTACACTTGCCGATTTTTCGCAACATACAGCAAGTTTGGAGTTAAAATAATGAGTGCTGATGTCAGAACTTATACCGACTACGTATAAAACGCGTACCGGCAAAGTGCTGCGAAAATTATAATAAAAATATAATAAATCCTAAAAAAATGACTAAGTTAAGAATTTGAAGTTTGAGATTAAAATGATTAGCGGATCTATTAGCACTAATATCGAAGGATTAAGTTAGTACACTATAAATAGACACTTGCACAATAACCTAGGTCAGATTCTGATATTGTTACGCAAGCTCCTTGGGTGCCTTGGCTGCCACATTCCATAGCCCTCCTTGCTTGAAAATCTCTCAAAAATTTCCACCTTTCTTGTTGATTATTCTTCTTAGACTCTCTATACACTTGAGGGCAAACTTAGTGAGGGGGAAAGGCTCCTCATTTCTGAGTTCAAAGCCACTGAGTTGTTGAGGTGAAAGTCATTTTCTTACACATTGTTGGTTCAAGAGATCATTTTGTGAAGGAAACAAACAAACTTGTAGAATCAAATTTGTGGCTTAGTAGTGGCAGAACTGTAGAGGGGTGTGAAAAGCTCCAAGATCATCTTTTGTCTCCGTTTTGAGCCTTTAGGGTATATTTCTTACCTTTGTTCATGAGTTTCTTTGATAAAGAAGGATTCTTGGCATGTAAAATGATGTGATTAAGTAACTAACATGAACACTGGCCTAAACATGTCTAAAAATGCATGCTTGAAAGTGTAGAAGTGTTAAAAATGGAACCTTGGATGGATATCTTCGCGAAAATACAAAACAACATTCTGTCACGAAATATCCGGATATGGATATCCGTATATTGGGTCTGTGATATCCGGATAAGGATATCCATATATTGATCATGTGATATCCGGATATTCCCCTGTGGAATATCTGGATATTCTGGAAATTTTGTGTATTGATATGTTATGTCCAAACAGAAGTATAGATTGGGTTTCTGGACCCTTGATTGGTTAATGTGAACCTCTGTAATAATTTAATTAAGTTAGAACCATTTAGATGAAGGCTTATGGCTTTAAAAGAGGCCTAAGGGCATTAAATGAAAAAGGAAACATTATCGTAATGTAATGAACTTCTAGATGATGAATGTTGATAATGTTTCTGTTATAAACAGACTGTGAGTGTGCTGTTTGGTGACGTGGGCTGG